AATATATATATATTGTGTTTTTTATTAATATTGTTAATTTATTTGGTACCTACTATAATTACCACGATTATTACTCCGTTTTCATAAGGCCCACCTAATGACTACAACGATTAGGTAAATTACGATTTTGCAAAGTTTCAATGAAATAAATAAAAAATGTGTATGAATATTTTAACTAATTGTACTAAGAAAATTTCTTTCATTCTTAACCCTCTCAAAAACTAATAAGCACGCCCCCGATTTGCTGTCAACTGGGCTTACTTCTACTTTCAATCATTACTGGTTTTAGTATAAATCCGTCTAACAAACAAAGTAACCCAAACAAAGATATACGCGTGATCAAAGCATTATCAGCATGCACATTTACATGCATTTATTGGATGAAATAAACAAGCTCCTCACGCTGACCAATCAGATTGAACTGCAATCGGCTGACGGAATCCATGTTATAGTGTCGGAGTGGTCGGTTACGTTTTAACGCCTGTGTTGTGTTCACATAGGGTATTTTGAAGTTTTTTATTTAATGTGAAGTACTGATTCGTGTAAAGAAGATGCTAATTTGTGTCCCTACACCCCACCTAAAAAAATTTACTATACCCAGCAGCATAATATTAAAAAAATCATTAGTTCCGTAGTGAGACTCTGTACAAGTAGTATTGTCCGGAAGATCACGTGCACTATCCATGATAATGTTTTGGAGCACTCTGTTGATCAGATAGACAGAGTAGAGTATAACTTTTTTTTGAGTTAACAAATGATTGTTTCGAAAACCTTTTACTTTTGGTATAGGAGGTATCAGTAAAAATCACATTAAAATTATGTCAGGGTTGGGCTATCTATCGGGCGCGTCCCCAGGTGGCAGATAGGGGAACAGCCAGGGGACTGGAGACCCTGTCCAAGAACCCAATGTGGTCTTACGGACGGGGAGTCACCGGACTTCTGGTCAGTGGTAGAAATGAGTAGGGTGAGGGAAATCAAAACTCCCCAAAAACCTTTGCAAAACACACCACCGTGGACCAGTCTAGCCAAGCTAAGGTGTAAGGAATCGTGCCGACAGCTGAATGGCCGCAGGGTGAAATGTGGTCACGAACGATCCCCTTGGGGAACTGGGCGAAACCTCATTGTAATTAGCCTTCCTTTGGTAATGCGGGGCTCTGCCAGAGGTGACCAACGCTTCCCTTGCTACTCGTGGGAATACAAATGAATGAAACAACACAAAAACAGAAACAACAAAAACCAATCCATCCCGAGGCTGGACAGAAGTGCTCACCTTAATCTGAGAGCTCCGCCTTGAATGAAGGCAAGGAATCGGCTGCCCCTGCAGGAAAGCTCCCTCACTTATGCACCTCCACGGGGGGAACCCCGAGAAGGTTGAAGAAGCCGCGCAACGACAGTAATATCGCTGCACCTTCCAAAACCTTCGCGGAGGCCACCGTGAGACACCTCAAGATTGACAAAGAGAGTGTGTGTTCGGCGAGTCTTGGACTACACCTGTCAATATAAAGGAGATGTCTTCTAGTGACCTGTTCACCTTCCTGGAAAGGACAGGATGGACGATGATCTAGAAGGACAACTCCGCGGGAGGATGTACAATGGGTCACATGTGGCCTAAGTGCTGTGAGTCTACACTCACTCTCCCTACTCTACAGATCAGATGTCAGACGTTCAAAAATGTGAAAATATACATTTCAATCAAGGAAGTTGGTACCAACTTCCGGTATAACCGGATAAACGTCATTATTTTCATTCGATAAAGCATATTGAAAAACCGACATTTGCCAATTTTCAAGATATGAATCCTATTTTTTTGCCCTGTATAAATTTGAATCGATTTTCACCAATAAATGGAGGTGTAATTTGATGAGTACTTTTTATTCATCATATTTTGTAATATATATTTAAACACACAATCAGAAAATCACCAGAAGATGACAAATGAGACTTAGTCGAAACGTCGTAAGATCAATCCCATTGAGAATAATATCACAGAACACGGATAAAAACACGGAAATCAGTTCAGCGTATTTCCATCCGTGAGAACATTAGATTTAACATTTGAAACCTTTACGGGAAGAAGAGGTCAATCAAGAAGAAGAATAACTCAGGTAAAAATCAACAACAATAGCTTATAGTAGGAAGCAGATCGTGTAAGGACAGTCTACTTCCTAACTCGTAACAAACATCACTATATCTATATAGTAGGAAGCGGATCGAGTAAGGTCGATCGACTTCCGAACACTCAACAGAAAATCACCAGTAGATGACAAATGAGACTTTGTCGAAACGTCGTGAGATCAATCCCATTGAGGATAATAGTACAGAACACGGATTGAAATTCGGAAATTAGTTTAGCATATTCCGTGAGGACCTTAGATTTAACATCTAAAACCTTTACGGAAAGAAAAGGTCAATCAAGAAGAAGAAGAACTCAGGTAAAAATCAACAACAATACCTATATGGTAGGAATTAGATCGTGTAAGGACAGTCTACTTCCGAACTCGTAACAAACATCACTTTACCTATATAGTAGGGAGCGGATCGAGTAAGGTCGGCCGACTTCCGCACACCCAACAGAAAATCACCAGTAGGTAGATGACAAATGAGACTTTGTCGAAATCCCATTGAGGATAATAGCACAGAACACGGATCAAAACCCGGGTATCAGTTCAGCATACACACAATATATACAGACATGAATCAGTCTGAAATGGTTTCTGTTGTTCCCACTACACCAACAGTTTTCATATCTTCTCTAGATGATATTTTTATGATGGCATGCGATTCTTAATAATCCAATGTTTTGAGTGAAAGGAGCGAAACCTAAAAAAAAAAAAAATATCATTTTCAAAAAGACGACTAGATTATGGATGGATTATGGATGGGATAAAATTATGGCAGATTTGATAAATAATGACCTAGGAATGAATGGAGATCTGAGATCATCGAAATTTATACTCACTACAGATTAACACTTCAAACAAAGTGATAATGTCACATGTAGTCACACAGCAAAAGAAAATAGTGAACGGAATAATTGCTTGTTGTTGTTGACAACCGTTACCACATAGTGAACTCTGCGAAATCGACACGGTTACTATTTTGCTGGGGTTTTACACATTTGGTGGAAATTCGCCTTTATCTTTTGTGATGATCAAAATAATTTTTGGCCTGACGTATGCTATATAATCTTGTGATTGAAAAGGATTCAATAAAAGTAATTATTATTTTTAAGCGAAGTATGCGCTGGTTATGCCCTATCCCTGAAGCCCCGATACATTTGGAAGGGCGCCCCAGCATTATCAACCAACCGTAGGGTAAGTTCCGCACCGTAGGGTAAGTGATTAGTAGGTCCGAGAATCATGTGCCCTGAGCAAGCGCACTGAGCCAAGAATCTGAATCTGTCCGGCTAAGATTTCTGCCTTAGTGCGGCAGGCCGATATAATTTTAAGATTCGAGAGTAGAAAGGACATCATTCCACCAAGGACTCCAATAATCAGAAAAACCATTTTGACAGAGTGGTCTGGATAGATTCTGTGGAGTTCGAAGAGAAAATCTTGATATTTTATCCGTTTTTCCTCCTCTTTTCGGACGATATTTGGACCTGAAAACTTCACGACAAATATCGTCTTTCTCTGGTGGTCGAGAAGGACTACATCAGACTCATTAGCTTGTATGAGCCTGAGGGTGGGGAACGAATAGTTCCAATACATCTCGTTCCCCACAACGGATTCAATATTCCCCTGAGCGTAGGGCAACACCGGTGTCTCATCAATACCGTAAGAGTGCCATAGATGGTAATATAGCACTTTTAGGGCTGCGTTATGTTGATAGATATAGGCCGAGACCGCATATGCAGAACATGCTGATAGCAAGTACATTAGGGTTTTGGGCGCCTCGCGGTAGGTCCTGCACCTTATGTCAGAAACCTTTATACCCATCACACAACTGCGGTAGACTAAGGTGTTGAAGACACCATCCTGGCGACTCGGCCCACTCGACCTGAAGAAAGCAAAAGACAGGCTCTTTGATAAGCCAAGGTCTCCAATGTTATTGAAGAAGACCCCATGCACTGGCTTATCCTTGTGTTTCTGCAGAAGTGAGGTGATCTCTGCGGCTTTTATATGAGCTTTGTGCTGAACGGGTTCCAACTCGGTAACAGAGTTGTGGTCACTTCGTTCAGTGTCGAAAACTAAACCGAGTTCGTCACCTGCTCGACAACTGCCCTAAAGAGAAATTCTCGAATTCCTGCTCTCTCATGGTCACGGACCATGCACGAACTCCTGATGACTGTACATGCTATATCCAGTACCATTCAGTCATGTAGACACTCCAAACTCAGAAGGCCACTCAGTGGCAATTCATCTAAGTAGTCATCTAATTCTTCAAATAGAAAATGAAGATACATTTCACTATTCAAATGATCATCGTAAAAGAAAGTAAGTGTTTACTGATCTATCATTCATAGATATTTTTCAGTACTAGAAAAATAAATTTGACTCCACCTGGTATATGCGATCAATTCCTTTTCATCATATATGCATGTCTAACAATCATTTTAATCATTACCCCACCATTGCTTCAGTGCTTGATCATGGTTCGGAATTGGATGTATCTCTCAAAATCAGCGAACTTTTCTTTGTGTTTACCATTTCTACCTATCGTGTGTCATGCAAGGTATATTTTGAATACTATTTATACATCGATTATTTAGTAATTTTGCCATTAATTGATCGTCCACCGGTCTATCGATTATTTTCATCTCTTGGCAAAATATATAATTTCATCGTGTTTGGTTCGACGATGATCTCCGTGCCAAGACCGAGTGTAATTTCCTTGATTTTATTATTGGCAATTGTGATCAATGGTGGAGACAATGCAGCGTTGCAAAGTGTTGGAGTGAAAAATTCATTGTACGAAGTACCAGGACTAGGAAATCGACCATTGATGATAAAAGCTTTTCCTGGTGTAGAGAATTTTCAAAGTGATTTGTTCGAAGTTTATGCAGAGCCGTATACCTACGTAAGTAAAACTTTTATGTCAAATTATTTAATAACCTTTCAAAACCTTGGTTTTCTAAAGGCTTCAAGCATATCACACCTAGGGAACCAACGTAATGACAAAAAAAAAGCATTATAATTTTCAAACAAACAATATACAGGTCATTTCATTGATCATGTGTTGACACTGACATATTCTAAACCGTAACAGATACGGGGAAAACCAAAAACGCTGTTTTTCGTTTTTTTCGAATGAAATTGTTATTTCGGAGAATATCAAAAAATGGAAAAAGAAAGTGTTATTGTATTCGAAGTGTACTATGACGATGTGATAATAAATATTCCATATTCGATTTGAAATAACCACCATCATCAGTGATAACAATCAAACAGAGAAACAATTTATTTTATCATGAACTTTTGGGAAAAATGGAACCAATACAGAAAATCAAAGCTACATGGCAATCTACATTAAATGCTTGTATTGACCTCTTTGTTGAATGCATATAAGTTGTCAGTCCAGATAATTTCTGTGGCAGTTTTCTAGCATAATAACTGTAATACTAATACATGCATCTCTTTCTTGTTTGAGATGGTCGATGTCTGTACTTGGTGTTGAAAAAACCTTATCCTTTATGTATCCTCAGACAAAAAAATCTAAAAGAGTAAGATCTGGGGATCGAGCTGGGCAGTTAATTGGTCCATTGTTTCCAATCAATTTTTATGGGAATATTGCATCTCAATGTTCCCTTACTATTGCTGCATTCTGGGAAGGAGCGCCGTCCTGTTGAAAATATTGTATTTCATGGCGGATATTCAGTGGCAATTCATCTAAGTAGTCAACGAATTTATTGAATAGAAAATGAAGATAAATCCCACTATTCGAATGATCATCGTGAAAGAAAGGGCCAAGGATGTTTGCTCCCACAATTCCCAACCAAACATTTATTTCGAACCTTTCTTGGAAATTGGTTTCCCTATATGAATGTTCATTTGTATTATTCCACCTAAAATGGATATTTCTGTTAAACCAATCATTGTTGGTGAATTTTGATACGTCTGTCCATATTATTTTTTCACAAATACTTCCAACTTCCTTATTTCTACGTCTTAACCCTTTCATTGAGGCGATGGACTTTGCGTATCCTGTAGCATTTATATTTGTTCTACACAATCGAATACCTTCGATAAATCGCAGAAAATTGCAAGTGGTATTGATTTTTCTTCAATAATAATATTTGTATTGTTGTGTAGATCAAATGCAGGGTCACCAGTACTCCTCTCTGATCGGAAACCATATTTTCTATCTATATTATTTTAAAATTAATTGGCGCTCCGGGGCGACTTCATTGATTCCAGTGGCGCATTTGCTTTTTCAGTTGCAGGAAAAACCTGCAGTACCACATCATCTGAAGATCTTGATCTGCTAATGTCCTCTCTTTCATGAAACAAAATGTAGGGTGTCTCCAGAGGCACACTTCGTAACACGACTATCGTCAAATTTAAACCAGTTCGTTTCGTCTTTGGCCAATGCGTAATAATGACCTGATTCCACACCAGAACCAGAGTGAACAATGACTGCATGAAGATTATAATAGTGGTCTGCTAGATTGAAGTGTTCATCTATTTCGAACCTTCCTAAGAGTTTGGTGCTTCCTTCAGAGTCATGTTTGAAGATAATCAGTGTCATTATTAGATAGACTTGTGCCTCAGTTTTTCTTATAAGAGTCAGTTAGTTTGACGCATGTTTGACAATGCAGTTGATTATCACCCGTTAGAAGTTCCATTCTCAGATGATTCAACAATAAGCTTTGCACGGACTGGTTATCAGTCATGTTAGGAAACGCTAGTTGGAAGTTCCAGAAAATCACATACGTTTTTGCTACCTCTTGAACATTTACTACGAAGTAAACAAGTGAGAACTTTTCCAGCAAAAGATCTACAAACACAAAACGAGATAGACTGTATGGAATCATTCTATACAGAGCGGTCAGGAGTTTTGATTCTGCTATTTTTTTTCTCACGAAGAGTATTCAACAAGAACCCCGAAAATTCGGAGCAATGCTCTTATTATCCTAACGGGTAATGTTGTGTAACAAAACAAAACTCTAAATATTCAAGGAATGGAAAGAAAAGATTCTGATGAATAGTTGAATAATAGTTTAACAAATGAATTTAAATGAAAAGTTTGAGGAGTTTCCAACAAATCCTATCTATTCTAGTAAAAAAATACAGAAACACCGTTCATTCATCATTTTCTGCCAGCTACACATTTCTCAAAATTCATAAAATTTAAACATTCTATACGACTTTCTAGACTTTCAAGCTCTCTTAATTCCATAAATTTTTCATCAAAAATATTTTCAACACCCTGTATCAGATCTTTGATTTTCCAACACCCTGTATTCAATATTTTCTACTTTTCACAAACGGTATGAATCCTCAACATTTTCTAATCTTGTCAGTATTCAGCTCTCTGTATAAAGTTCTAGATTTGGAACGCTATAAGTAAATTGAAACTTGTGAAATAAATACGCAGTAAAATTAACGAAAATGATGTTATATTGACTAGAGCAGAGAAAGACAACACTGTGGTTGCTATTTCAGGAAACTTTGAAATACTGAAACGTGACTCCAAAGACAAGTGAAAGATTTTTTGAAAAATTCAAACATACTTTTTACTGATAGGGAAAAGTTCAAATTGATATTGATGAACCCCCAAATTCCAAAATTAAACTTACTCATATATTTGAAAAAAATGTTTAGAATATGTTTTTCCGTTAACCAGCTGTCGCATCCCTACATCGACAACCCTCAGAAGTCGAAACTAGTGCGAGGTAAGGACTAACGAGGTCTTACCTTTTAACATGTGATTCCTAACACTAGTTGGACGATAGCAAGTGAAAATCGAGCGTTCAGCCTGGGGCTTGAACCATCGACTCACACATTGGCCAATGTGAGTGAACAAAGCACCCACGTCGAACCGCCCAATAAATAACAATATCATCAAGCAAATTGCACTAAACAATGGATTTAAAGCCGATTTAATATAAAGTCGAATTAATAGTCTAATGAACAAGTTCAAAAACATGAAAAGATAAAGGTCCTAAAAATATGAGCGACAGCTCATTTGATTCGGAATCACCTCTAGAAAAATGTTTTTGAACGATTTTGGTGCAGGCAAAAAATTGCAATTGTTATTAACAAAATAAGATTTTAAAAAAATGGTATTTAGTTTTTCGTTAATAACTCAAAAAATATTAATATTTAAGCAATTTTGAAGGAAGCTCGTTAAAAAGGAGGAAATTTCCGATAAAAAAGTTCCGACACCCGAAACTCTATCTCCATTATTTATAATTTCAATTTGACGTTGAAAATAGGGTTCCGCGCGACTGTTACGGCATGTACTAGAAAATGCCGAAACTTTTAATAATTTCCTGAAGACAAACACATTAATATCGATATTTCTAGAAATATTCAGTCCCTAGCAATTATTGATGGAAGTATTTATCAAAAGGAAACTGAATTTTCTTCCTTATGAATAAAATGAAACAAATTTTCTCATCAGATAACCTTGATAGCTTGATAACTCTCTTCCTATCAAAGGTATACGAAAATTCAAATAACATTCAAGTGGCTTAGGGCACAGTAGGCCATACATTTTCAGTGTTTGCTTATATTTATTTATATCATTTATATCATCAAAAATACTGATGACTGATAAAAAAGCAGGGAACTGTGTTACAATTTTAGTAGAACATTTTTTGTTTCGTTTCAGGATTTGAGGGCACAAGTTGCAGTTGCCATACTTCAGGGAGAGGCAGAAAGTGATGTTAAAGGAGAAATAATGTTTATTCAGAATCACCCACCGATTGGTCCTACTCTCATAACAGGCAACATAACAGGACTGGCCGCTGGTAAACATGGTTTCCACATCCATCAGTCTGGAGATCTGAGACAAGGATGTGAAAAAATTGGTGAACACTTCAACCCCTATTTGGTAAGCCATAAATATAGGATTCTTCGAGGGTATGATTGTGATATGTGACATCTTCCTTATATATGAATTTCGAATAGTTTTAATATTTACTGAGCATCACAGGATGGAATATGGAGCAGAAAACAGAGAAAGTACAACAAAATCGTAACATTTTCTACAAAACTCAAAGCAGATTTAATTTCCGAAAAACGTATTGTACATGAAATGATACTCCACCAGTATAAGATTCTGATATGGTGAAGAGAAGAGAAATGAAACTTTCTATGTTTTTACCACTTTTATTTGTAACTAACGTTACTGCAGTTTCGTCCTATACGGACATTTTCAAACTTATACAATAAACTTTATTGAACTGCAGTAACGTTAGTTACAAATAAAAGTGGTGAAAAACATAGAAAGTTTTAATTTCTCTTTTCTTCATTATGATTTCCTACCACGTTATAACGGCTACATCCATCAATTTATTCTGATATGGTTCTGATGCAAATACTTTTTCCACATCAGATGTTCTTGTGATGCACTGTTTGGAACCTTTGGTAAAGTAATGAATATTACTGGAGTTTCATATCACTATCAAAACGTTATTTTACCACCTCGACACGTGTTTCGATCACGATACAATTGATGTTGCTAAAGTGAAACGCGCGTGTCCAGACAGTGTTCTGGTTCTGATGTCCCTATCTGATCAGCAAATCTGGATTTTTTTTATCTATTCGATGTCGACATTATTATTTTATTCGAATCTGCAGCTTACCATTGATTATAATCGAGTAACGTCTTCTTGCGGTCACTTATATTTACAACAGATCAGTAGCGGCTTTCGAATTACTGGTGAGTGAATACTACTGGAGTTGAATTTGTATATTTTTCAAAATGTACTACTGTCATTTGATAACCTTATTGGGATAGTTGAGAAAAAATATGTTTTCCGCCATTTTGTAGCTGCGACCATCTTGAATTTGCATCTTTTTCAAAATTTACTGCTATACTACTAGACAAACCCTGTCATTTGATACCCAGTTTGGGGTATTTGTAAAAAATATGTTATCCGCCATTTTGTAGCTGCAGTCATCTTGAATTTGCATCTTTTCCAAAGTACATATAACCACTCTTCTAATAGTCGAGTCCTGTCATTTCCATACTAATGTGGTTGTGAAAAAATATGTAATCCGCCATTTTGTAGCTACGGTCATATTGAACTTGCATCTTTCTCGAAGTATACTACTATTCTACTAGTCGAGCCCTGTAATTTGATACCCATATTGATGTAGTCGTTAAAAAAGTGTTATCCGCCATTTTGTAGCTGCGGCCATATTGAATTTGCACCTTTTTCAAACTTTAAATGAATGTTTTTTTGAGAAATCAAAGATTCACCAAGATTGTTGGTTTCAGTTGATAACATTTTTCTCGATATCGCATTTTGCTTTACTCAAGAAGAACATTACCAGCCTATGGAAAGAGAGTTCAGTCCTGCATTTTGTGTTTTGGACAATGATGTGTGAAATCAGTAATATATCTAGAAGTACTGGTATTTTTTCAATAGACATCAAATTCTAGACCCTGGTTACTTCTAATCAGTAAGACATTGAAAATGGTAACTTCTTATTTTAAATTTCAGATGTAAACTGAAAAGTCGGGTATCCATTGATAAAAATTGAAACAAAGTCTTCTACCTCAGATAAGTTTGTATTTAAAATCGTAAATTTATCATCTGCATATCAGATCCAAGACCGTGAAAAGTAATCTCCTCTTTTGCTTCTGATTAAAATTGGTCATGCACTGTGGGTTTTCCATTGCCGTGTTTCTGTGCTATCTGTGAAAGCAGTTGTTGAACTAGAAGCAATTCTGTTCCTTGAAGTTTTTTGTTAGTTGTATGTAACTTCTCCACTAAGTCCATCAACCCTTAGAACTCCCCTCAAATATTAAATAATTTCTAGTACCTATAGGAACATCAAATAATACTAAAATCTCTCAATGTTGCAAATTAAAATCATCAATTCTATCAACGGATTTGTTTGAATGAATGAAACATAAACTCAGTGGTGAGATTGAGAAAACTATTTGGTTAGCTATTTATCAATTTTATATAAATTAGAGGAACTTATGGCAGAGACAATTCGCCGCACTGACTTGCCAGATTTGTGAATTTTTAATAGATCGCATATTTTGGGAAATGTTAAATAAGAAACCTATAGACTCCTGTTCAAAATTGGTGTCATCAAGTTTTGTCTCTTATTTCACACTTCCTTGGACATAAAAATTTTGAAACTAGCTGTTTATAAGCAGGTACTTGATCATATAGAAGAAAATGAAATTTTAATAAATAAATAATCAATCTGGATTTCGTAAAAAATATTCATGTGAATCCGCATTACAACTCACTTTTTCTAAATTCAAAAAAGAACAATAAATAACAATAAATTTGTAGTAGCTGTTTTCCTTGATCTAAAGAGGGCTTTTGAAACGATTGACTGTAATATTCTTCTAATAAAATTAAAAGGTTATAGCATTGATGGTGATGTTTACCATTGCTTATGTAACTATTCATCCCATAGAAAGCAAAAAGTCAGAGTTCAAGATAATATCTCACAGGAATTAAGATATACATATAGATGTGCCGCAGGGNAGACAAAGGAAGCCCGAACTAGTGAAATTCATCATGAAACATTGTCAGTCACCTTCAAACACACATTTTGATTACTGTGCTTCTATCATTTTCTTGTTTATTCTAAATCAAACATATCAATTACAAAATCTTCAAAATCGCAATATGCGAATTGTTCCGAAAGTGAATAGATTTACAATAGATTTACTGAAATCGGAGGCATGTTACAAACTTTGCGGTGCCTACCAGTTTCTTTGCGGTTGTATTACTTGAACTAAGACATTTATATATAAAATTCTAAATAACTTATCACCCTCATATTTTTCTAAATTTGTCAGTTTAAATTCGAGTAAATCACCTACAGACTGGTTTCGAGGTATTACCTCTCATCAGTTCAGAACAAATCCTTTTCTCTTCATTTAAATTGCCCAATAATATACCACTAGGATACTGAGAAAAAAGTAATCACTTGTAGACAGACAATGCTGAGAAACGTTCAGTTCTTTACTATCAGAAGAAAGAAATTGGTTTTCAAAAGAAAGGTCGTTTGGGTAACAAAATAATTAAAAAAAAATTGTTTTCTTGCCATCGTTTCGAATTTAATTGAATTATTCTTCAGGGGTCTGTAACAATGAATTTTCATAAGCATACCTCCCAGAAAACTCATTCGATTATTATCGTTTCAATTTTAATAGAAATAATGAGTTCTTAATTGAATTATCCACCAAAAAGTAGTCTCCTCGTGGTAATATTACTATTTTAAAAACCGTTAGACATATAAGATACAAAAAAAGGAAAACATTGCAACAACCAAAATTTCAAAACAACATCAACACAGAACGACATCTGTGATTCTCATAAGGTGGTGTCTGTTTTTTTAATCAGTGACAGGAAGAAAAATAATGAAAAAAGTGTGAATTATTCAGGTATTTTACTTTTCGAATTGAAATATTACTTGACGTTTCCTATATCATTATTATTATTATTATTGATGACTGCAGCACTGATCATAGCTTTTCAGAGTGAAACTTCTGCACGTGAAATTAAATGTTACATAATTTGTTTACTATTACTGTTTATTTTTGAAATACCGTTCATTATAATTAAGGTCGAACAAAAAATGTACTTTGAAATAGAAGATTGAAAATTAATTTACGTATATGAACGTTTTGGTATATTGCAACCTTGCACACACGTTCTCCATTTTTTGTTCATGTACGCTGTCTGTTCAAAAAATAATGTGAATTTTCATGTATTCATCAATTTCTTTCATGGGTCTTTCAAATCTTGAGAACAGGAAAAAGCCGCAGAGGGCAAATCTGGTGAATACGGTGGCTGAGGTAAAATTACGGTGTTGCTTTTGTCGAAAAAGAGGAAGTTTAATTTTCCTCTTGAAGATGATTACTTGGTGATGGAAACACGTGTTGAGCTGTTAAAAATAACGGTTTGGTGTTGGGATTAAACTCCCGTAATATTCATTACTACACCAAACGTTGCATCACAAGTATATTCAGTGTCATTGCTGTAACCATAATTTTCATTTCGTATCAATACACTGTGTCCAAGATAAGAATGAACAGCATGGCGATATCTGAAACGGTAAGTGATACGGGGTCGATTGAATTATTGTATACGACTCCATTTTTCATTGTGAGTACAGCAGCGTATCACATAATATGATTTCAAAACCATTTCTCACTCAAAATGAAAAGTGATTACTTAACCTGCTTTTCTCGTTACCTACCTAATTTGTGTTGAAAATGGAAAACGACAGCTTTTCGAATACTCAAAAATTTGATATGTTGTCATGTTACATTTTGTACCAAAAATATTGTGTTGATGCTGAACGTGCGTACTCTAATAACTATCCAGAGAGGCGACAACCTGGTAAATCAATATTAAGACGTTTAGTTCTTAATTTGAAAGAATACGGATCATTTAAAGAACCTGTGGTTTTCCTTCAGAAGCAATATAATGAGAAAGTCAGCGTAATGTGTTACAGGACGTTGTTGAAAATCCTGAGATATCCACTCACACCATTGAATATAATACAGGAGTAGCCAAATCCACCGCTAACCTCATTTTAATGAAAATTGAATATCATCCATATAAATTTAGTATTTGTCCAGAAATCAACATCGTTTCGATTTTCGAGTGGGTTGGAATTCTCGGTACGAATATAATTGGACCTTTCATCTACCAAAACAATTTATCACAAAGCGGTACATAAATTTATTCGTAAATGATTTGGAAGACGCTCTGGATAATTTGCCTTTAGCGGTTACTCACAGGTGCTGGTTTTAACAAGGTGGTGCTCCAGCACATACCGCTAGAATTGTTTATGATTATTTGAATCGTCGCTTCCCAGGGCAGTGGATTGGTACTCATAGTGATACATTCTGGCCTGCTAGGTCCCCTTACCTAACCCCACTAGACTTTTTCCTTTGGGGATATATCAAAGTGTACTCTCATAGTTTTCAAAATGAAGAAGGTTTACTGAGAATGGTTACTGCATTCTTGAACAATATTGTTCCCAATATGTTAATTCAAGTTTTGAATTCGTCTGTGCTTAGAAAATAACGGTGATTTATTTGAACACTTGCTATAAGTTCCTGTTCATTTCCTATAATACATATTAGCTCCTTATTATAACATTACAATTACATTTCATAAACTAAGTTTTTGATATTGCCACTCATCTTTGTATTCAACAACGCAAAAATTCCGGCAAGTGGTAAGTTAAAATTGATTATAAATAAGACTAATCAATTTACTTCGAGTATCAAAATATGACATTTTTTCCAGCGCGTACTATCCAAAATTGTAGAAAATCAGATTAAGAAATCAATTTTCATTTTGCGCGAGGACTGGTTATGAAATCATATTGTGTGATACGTTGCGGTATTCACAATAAAAATGGAGTCGTATACAGGGTATACTTTAGTTTCAGTCCAAATAAAAATACAAAGTTGATGATGTTTTCTAAAAGACGAAACGTCACAGAAAAATTCTGCTCAAGTTATCGTGTAGTGGTTACAAAGTGGCTACGACAAAGTGCTATTTGTTTCACATTCCCCCTGAAAATAAAGCTAGGAGAAAATAAAAACGAAATTCTCAAATTTCGGTTTTTCTCGGATATCTCGGAAACTACTCGGAATATTAAAAATTTCAGAATGGCATATTATTAGGCACATAAATGCGCTACTTTTCTCTAATTCAATCGACCTTGTATCACTAACCGTTTCCTATATCCCCATGCTGTTCATTCTTATCTTGGACACAGTGTATACGTCATATTTTTTTATTCAATTTTATGAATTTCGAAGAGTTATTTTTCGTTTCCTTCAGTTTCAGCATGGTGCACCATTCGATCCCATTCGTCATGTGGGTGACCTGGGCAATGTTGAAGCAGGTGATGATGGTACTGCAGAAGTGAACACCGTGGACCCTTTGATTTCGCTTAGCGGTGGTCCTAGAGGAGTTGTAGGACGAGCCATAGTAGTAACAACGGAAGCCGATGACTTAGGACGTGGTGGCACAGCAGATAGTTTGACCAACGGTCAGTCTGGGAAACCCCTGGCCTGCGGAGTTATTGCGTTCATAAGATAGTTTTAAAAAGTTTTAAAAAGAAGTCGTTACCGTTTGTTTATGAACCGATATGATGTCATTCCTAAATCGAACGACTTTGCGATTTATTCGATACAGAATTTGTTGAAATAATAAGTTTCGTAAGGTCGTTCTCATTTTCAATGCCCTACATACATAATACATTGAATTTTAAAGATGTCTGTAGACAATTCAATTTATCGCGGTTTTACTTAAGTCGTGACTTTTGTTTTTGCATTTCCAATAATGTAGTTTGTTCAAATTTTGGTGGAACTGAATTTAATTCAAATTATACTTTATTGTCAACAGTGCTTATTGATAAAAGTATACAAAAAATAAATATATACTGGAATAGATTAAAACAATTATTAGAAAATAGGAATTTTAAACACAATTCCTTATTTACAAATATTTATTAAGGGTCCGAATTCTACAAAATTTATCGGTTGAAAGCCTGCTTGGCTGTATCGTTTGTTTATATTATGTTATGTTTATATATTGAAATGAGTTGAAGAAGGACACTTGCATATCCACAGGGTGGCAGAGTATCCTGCGACATCTAATATTCGGCCATCCTGCAATATTCTTGTCTTCAAAGTCCTCAATCTGAAACAAAGTCATTTTTCATCAATACAGCCAAAGAAAAATAGATTTTCCTCGATTTCTTCAGGATTGGAAGAATGAAAGTGGTAAGAAACATAGAAATTTTCATTTCTCTTTTCTTTAAGAAATTTGTGTTACTCATAAGTAATGGCCGTTCTATGGGACTGTGCTCGTGGGAGACAGTGTTTTAGAAATTTGTCATCACCCACCATCACAAATTTCTAGGGAACTGCACTCGTGAGAACCAGTGTTTTAGAAATTTATGATGGGTAAACATTTCTACGGAACTGTTCATGTACAACAAAAACATGCACAGTGTTTTAAAATATGTTAACAAACATTAAGGACTACCGGACTAAACTGGTGAAGTCAGTGTTTTAGAAACTTCAAGACATTTATGACTCAGTTTCTACAGGACTGGACTCGTAAAAGTCAGTGTTTTAGAAACTTTTTTTAATCCACCTATGCAGGGTTACTTACTCACTTACGTACTTATTTTACAGGGTGTAACTGAATAAGTGTAAAACATTCAAGGAGTTTTTTACATCTCTCAGATCTTATTTTTCGACATGTTAGCACACTCGATTATTATATTCGATTATTCAAACTAACTTCAACGCGGTTCTTCATCCCACTTCTGAGATAGTAGAAAACATATATTTCAATATTTCAAACACAATTCTCTATTTACAAATATTTATTAAGGGTTCAAACTGTACAAAATGTATTGGTTCAATACCTGCTTGGCTGTTTGTTTATATTATGTTATGTTTATATATTGAAATAACTTGAAGAGGCATACGTGCATATCTACAGGGTGGCAGAGTATCCTCCGATATCTAGGTTAGGTCCAAAGTGAGTGGGTTTATTCGACCCTCCACCGCTACCTGCAAGGGTTTATTGTGACCGATATCTATCCGATATTTGATTGAAATTCACCTGAAGCTAGCTCACAAGCATGGACCATTTTTGTTGTTGAGGATATTCGGGTAAGGTCAAAAAAATAAACCCAATATCCGTGATGCAACGTAATTTAATAATAAATTTGTGTATGCATTAATTAATTGAGAAAATAAAACCTTGAGTTCTGAGTACCCTTGTTCATACTTAAGGGGAGGAGTATTCCTTATGTTGAGACCACACTACAGTTTTTTCCCGCAAGCGGTAAAACCGCAAAACCGCCCGAGACGCACAAGCTAATAAATCGCGAAACTAGCCAAGATTTTCAGTTTGAAGATGGATTTCAAGAGAGCTGTAATACTAAGAAGCAGAAAAAGTCAACGTTATCAAAAATTTCGCAAATATTGGGTCCATTCACTGACTAGCCGAAGATTTAAAAAAGGTTTCTTTCACAAAAAGTATCAAGATTCAAGAAAACATCTTGAGAAATTGTTCAACTACTATCGGATGTCAGTAGTCAGTTTCGATAAAATTTTACATATTGTACATTTACACATTAAAAAAAAATCTGTTTAAAATCTGTTTTTCCGTTACCTACATAAATACAATATTTCGCTTATGTATTTCACCAGAAGAACGGCGACACTTCATGACGGTGTGCCGAATAATGACAGAACCGCCCGCGGTTGCCGCGTCAAATGTGTGCGCTCCAATATTAGTTCTATGAACTACAAATTTTGGCGCGGTTTTTTCCCGCTGTTCATTCTGTAACAAGTCGAGGGTAAAATCCGCGGCTGTTTAGCCGTAGTGCAGCCTAAGCTTTAAAGTAAGGAAAATATGTAAAAGTAGTTGATTTTTTTAAATAAAATATATTTTAGTCATCTGTTGAATTTCGATGCATCATCCGGCTTCATGGAAGTTTCTCAGTTGATATAAAATACTCGACCGTAAAAGTGTGCTCGCACCTCTCTCTTGCCCCTACAGTAATATACGAAACGTAGCTCTCTCTTTCTATCTTCACTAACTTATATCACCCTCTTTCGTTCGCCTCACCCGATCACACTTTTCGTAACACTCACGTCACCCATTCACCAGCTTACTCCCCAAGTCAAGCGTGCGTAAAGAAGTTTTACTTGGACAAAATAGTACAAAATCCCAAGATATACCTATTTCTCCGAATATAAAACACGTTGTGTTATTAGTGACATAAAGACTGATCTATGAATTTTGTGGAGAACTTAAAGAACAGAAGAACTACTTCGAAAAAGCATTGATCTCCTCGAGATAATTACAGGGATTTTGAATTGACACTTCATTCAAAGGGGTATTCTGCCATTCACAGAGATCAAAATTCGGGCTGTTAGGTCGTGGTCGAATGAAACTAGAAGCTTCAAACGTTTCATCTGCTACTGCGGCCCACATCTTCAGTGGTGTGTTGACTGCGAGGTCGAAGGTATCATTTCAAAATTTCTGGAACGACTGACTGTGGAACTTCGTGTTTACTCCTATTTATACTTTTGAAGGGTGGTGGACGGGATGAGTTGGAGTTTACCCTTATACTTTCTTTTCTGTTGGAATTGTTGGAATGTTTATAGCTTTCGAAGGCCTCCCTATGAAGTCGTGTATAGTAATGACTTGAATTGAACAGGATAGCAGTTTCTTGGTATTTCGTTTCGTGTTCTGTTTCGGCTAGACAATGTTTTATAATTACAAATTTCTCAGATTGAATAAGGCAGTAGCTATGCTTGGGTTTTTGTAATCTGGTATGGATGCTACATTTGGTAGTTCCGATGTGAACTAAACCACATGAATAGGGAATCTTGTAAATACTGGCAAATAGAAGATACTAATTTTCAACCTTGGCAGATTTGGTAGTACTGCGTAGTTGTGAAAGGTTTCAATATTGTGACGTTAAAACAGTTTTCCATTAGAACGTCACAACAGTTTTCCATTAGAACAATTCCCTGTCATGTGGTTTCTTTCACTTCGGAATTACCAAACGCAGCATTGATATCAGGGGAGAAAAACACAAGCTACCGCTTTTGCAACCGGAGAAATCCGCAATTGCTGAACATGTCCTATCAGAAACAGACCACGTAAAAAACTGCTGTTTTGTACAATACGAGTATAACACATTACCATGCACGTCTTCATAGGAGGGCCATTAAATTTATCTATTAGCATTCCAATAAATTCAACAGAGAATAAAGGCATCTAGTATTCAAGAGTGTCTGAAATAGACTCGAGACATCCCACGAGCCCACACATATCAATATCGTTGGCTAATCAGCACAAACGAGCACAAATAATACAGATCGGTCGTGGGTGAGCATTTGCATGGGTAAAGAAGCGGTTCAGCAATAGGGGGCGTGACGTCATCAGATATACGAAATGCAGAGCTGGCTAGCATTCGCTATCAGTTTCAAGAGTTTTCATGTGAGCGGTGTGGAAGTACATTTTTTTTTCCATAACTTAATAGAAAAAAGTGATTTTCGTGCAATCGACTGTTCATATATGAAAGTAGTTGTTTCAATGAGGTTTTTTCCAGTTCGTACCTTTGAGAAACTTTTGTGACCTATCTTCATGAGAAGTTATTGTGGTAGTTATTTTCTTTCTTCTTTTCTTTGGAAGTTTCTCAAATTTTGTATTCAATGGTGGAGAAGTAGAAAACCAAAAAGCTTTTTTACAAAAAAAAAATCTGTTGTGAAAATAATACGTTTTCAATATATATAAAACTAGCTTTTACCCGCGGCTTCGCTCGCATTTATGCCATTAAATAAGTATCACTACAATAGAAATTGTAATTTAATGTTTATATTTTGAAAGCATTTGATTCGAATAGACTTTTGTCTTTGTGGGTTTTCTCTTTGTGGGTTTACCACGTTTATTTCAATGGTGGAGTTACCCATAATCGAAACATGTCTAAAACTGGAAAACTATTTGGTATTAGGAGACGGAGATGGTTAACGTCTCGCCAAAGAAACTCGAGAGAAAAAATTGAACTCGACTCTTCAAAATCGAAAGGTTTTTCGTCTGGCAAACAACCAACCCATTCCTTGATTTTGGGGGTAGCAGAAGAAGGTGTCTGCATTCATCATGAGTTACAACTTTCATATATTGAAAGATAATGTAAAGGTTTGGTGTATGAATCAACAGTAATGAAATAAATACTTTATTTTCTACTTTATTTTCATGAATCATGTAGAAAGTGGTCATGCTCCACAATATTTTTAAACTTCACTATATTGAAAATATATTGGATGTGTCGTCGACTGATTTCTTCATAGAATGATCAGTAATAACTTTTTCATAGAACAAAATTATTCAGAAATAGTAAATTTTCAGTATACCTTCTGAACTTCTATAGAAATAATAATAATATCAGTTTGAGTTTCTTCTACATAATGACTGAATTTTCTTATTCACACTAATTCAAAATATACGTTTCTGTTTAGGAAATTTTCACAATTTCATGAAAAAAGTGGAAGAGATAAAAGACGAATCTCATCAACACTTGAAATCGGTTATAACACGCCTGAAGAAGCTATTATATAGTGAAACACGTGTTGCGATTCTGTAAAACTGTTTAGTGAGAATCACACAATAAATGAAGTTTTCCTTGAGTACTTGAAGAAATTCTTCATTCAGTGAAAAAGTATAATACTACAATATTATAATGAATGTTCATATGATACCGTCAGTTTTTCCACAACACTTTTCTGATGCGACCAAACGTCAATTTCAGTGCAGATATCAAAAAGATGATGAATTCAAAAATAGCTATGTAATGAACGTATGTTTCTTACTAGAGACGGTCACATGTTATCTTTAGAATTTCCCACTTTTATTGTTATATATAAAAGTAAAGCAATTATTATTTCATTGCTAGTTCGGTTTTATCTTGGCTACAGTACGATAAGTCGGCCGTGAATTTGTATCGCGATTGACACAAAAGTTGGTTGTTAAAGGTGAACTAGTTTTGTCAGACTTTTGTGCAGAATCGTCTCAATTCCAGTGAAGAGGTATGGTCTCTGAAAACTAAGCAATAAATGTTTCTCTTCATTCCTAGTCGCAAACAAATTGTACTTCAGTCCTCAGTGATTTCGATTCATTATTTTTTCAGTAATATAATATGTTTATATTCGCGCGGCTAATTTCATATACGAGGGATGTTTTAAAAGTAAGCACCTTTCTGAAAAGAATAAACAGCAAGTAAACATTTCTCAAAAAACTTTTATTCGTGTCAATTCCCATACCTCACTTCATTTTTCAACATTTTTACTTATCGTATCGTATGACCAGCTTTTATATGCCATCCTCAAAGAAGGTTCTCCTTTATTAGACAGCTACTGCAGCATGGTCGTTTTGACTTCATCGTCATCGTTGTGACATTGCATAGCAAGATATACCTTCGAATGCAGAAACAAATGGTAGTCACTCGGTACTAGATCGGAACTGTAAGGAGGACGGCCCAATTGTTCCCAGCCAAATGACAACGCCGCTCACTTCGTTCCTCATCGAGAATGTTTGTGCGGCTATCTCCAAAGGCCCCAACCATTTAACAAACCATTCTATCCCTTTTTAAAAAAATCAGCTGCTTTCAATCTCTTTGTTCTGGATAAAAATGAATACAGTCGAATGGTTCTGTGATGGCGTCTGTGCATGGCTTCTCCGCAGATGTAGGTGCATGGTGTACATGCGATAAACGCTGACCGAAGCGCTGCGACGGCATAATTCAAAAACTCAATAATACTAGTATTTTTCGTTCGTTATTGTTTTGAGCTTATTTAAAAAAATATTTTTAACTTTCTAGTTCGATGTTCTTTAAAAGCGTGTTTTTTAGTTTTTTAAACTATATTTATTCGTTTTGGACTCAATTACGATGAAGATGTACTCTGTTTGTCGCTTTCTCCATAAAACGTTTTTCATTTGATTGGAGAAAGAGCCTCTTACAAAAGAAATATGTTCCCGTATAGATTTGATATTGATATCAAGTCACATAGAAAATATGAAGATCTGCATGAAAATTTATTTTTATTGTTCCCGTTGTTTAACTGATTCATAAGACGTCATAGAATTGGAAATCAAACATGCATACTACATGGGCTGCAAAGTCTCGGGTCTAACAAATAGATGGTGCTAGTCTGTCTACAGTCATCGATTCGTCAGTTAAGTAGTTAAAAAAATGCTGCTAAGAGTGACACTACTTTTGTTATTTGCAAAACAATGGATCAAAAAAAATTTCGTGTTTTAATTTTACACTGCTTCGTGATGGGAAAAAATACCGTCCAAGCGATGTAATGAAATATGGTATAGGACTCCGCTTCATCAGAAATAACAATTGAACATTGGTTTGCTGACTTCAAACGTGGTCGTCGAGACATCGATGATGCAGAACGCAGTGAACGTCCAAATGAGGCAGTAACACCAGATAAAAGAACCACAAAATCGTCCTGAATGATTGTGGTCATGTGGTCTAGTATCAAGAGGGCACTATCAAGTTTTTTTTTAACGTCAAGGGGGTCATGTGGCTCTTAGTTTTGAAGGCCTTCGGATTCTCTATCCAACACCGCTGGGTTTGTGAAAAACAGCCAAGTCATTCCAAACTGACAAGCGTTTGAAATTTGCTATAAATATTTAACAAAAAAATTATTTCAACTATTAATTTCAGCAGAATTTTAACTTCGTTACTGATTCTGGTCGAAAAGCCATTTTTTGTAGTAAAACAGGTGCGCATATTATTGGTGGTTTGTGTTCCAGTTTTTCATACCTTACTGGAGACTCCAAATAGTATTTCATTTCAATGTCAGTCTAATATTGGCGTTATTCATATCGATACTTTTGACAGTTTTCATAGGCTTCAGCATTTCTTTATAATTTTCAAATGCCCCGTCCCCGTTCTTTAGGAGAAAAAACCGAAACTATTTTAATTTACGCTGAAGCTAGGCCTAATTATAGTCGAAGTAACCGATATAGTAATTCTTAAAGCTATCGGCGAAGTCAAAGGCCAAAAAAAACAATACAAAGAATTAATGCCGCTTCGAATTAGTGCACGTGGACTGAAGAATTGGCGGTTTGTATTGGATAATTTTTACTAACCGAGTTTTATGATTGGCTGAAGAGTCATAAAATTAAATTTGTAGTCATGTTATGGTGACCAATAGAATGTGAGGATGGTTAGAAGAGTCGTGTTGTCAATGTTCAGTTCAGAACTGATCGCGGTTTGAGTGTTGAAATTCGATATTGGTGAAGTTATAATTACTTAAAATTTCCGTTATTTGTTTAAAATATGGCGTCCTTGGACAAGTACTGATAGTAATAACGAGTGTGATAGCAACGCAGACTTTTTCCTGTGTAGTGATTCCAATAGCGCTGGTGACCAATGCGAAAAAGAGATACCAGTGAATAAGATTCGGATGCATTTGAATATTGAAACACAGAGAGT